AAAAAAAAAAAAAAAAAAAAGAAAAGTGCTTAAAACACTGCCTGGCACATCTAAAACTCTCGATAAACACTAGCTATGAACATCATCTTTGACATCTCTGTCACCATTTCCCTTTCCTTATAATGGTCATCTCAAATGTTACCACCTCAGTGAAGCTTTCTGGTTAGCCAGACAAAATTATCTGTGCTTCTATGATCTAGTATTTTGGTTATTCCTCTATTACACTTTTTTTTTCTTGTTTGCTTTCACACTGTGTTGTGTGTTTATATGATTATGTTATGAAAGAGCATAGGCCTTGGACCTGGCTTCAATTCTCGGCTATGGCTCTTATTCATTGTTTGACCTTAGATAGGTCATTTAACTTTACAGAGTTTCAATTTCCTTGCTTGTAAAATAGAAGAAAACTTATACGGGTACTGGTAAGATAAAAGGAGAGTACAGAAAAAGATTCAGTATAGCAAGTTCTCGACAAAAGTTTATTCCTCTTACTCTTTTTTTTTTTTTACCTGCTGTTAATGTTGAGGTCTTAGAGGGCAGGGTCTCTATGTCTTCTTTATCTGTGAGCTCACAACTCTGGCTTTCAGTGGAACAATCTGTGTGTGCTAAACTTGCCCAATATACCTGTAACTATAGTACTTTGCCACTTTAATACCCTTTGCTTTCACATAAACACTACCAGCACTTTATATCCATTTTGAAAATAGAACAGTATATAAACATGTTTTACTTAATTTTAATGACATTTCAGGCTAATATGTCACAAATAAAAAGTGACTTTAGTTGCTTTTAAGATTCCATCCTATGAGCTTAAAATCCTAGAATGAGCTGGAGAAATGGTATTCAATTTTTATATATAAACTATATTGCCTTGTGAGAAATGCAAACAAAGTTGTATTTTCTTTATCCCAATGATAAATTACACATAATTTTGGCACACTTGTGTGTTTGTGTGTGTATATAAACAAAGATAGGATTATAAAAATACAAATATGCAACAAATAAGAAAGAGATCTTAGTTGAAACAACAGAAGCTAGATCAATGCTAGATTCACTGAAATTTACCCATTGTTTTATTCCTAGGAAGAATAACAATTCACTTTGGTGTAATTAGGATAATTTTCAGATTGCTCAAACATATCAAATTTGCCAGAATATAGAAAGTAAATATTTCACTAAATCTCACATAGTGAAAAGATTATCTAAAAATTGGGCACTGCATTTAAAACTATCCTCTATATTCTTCAATTCCACACCTAAAAAGGTTGTAGCCTGGGAGACAGCATAGGTTCATAGAAAATACACAAGATCTGTTGTTAGAAGACCTCAGTTTGAATACTGACTCTGAATCTTACTAGCTCTGCAACTTTGGACGAGGCATTTAACCTCTTCCTGAGGCTCTATTTCTTCTGTAAAATTGGGACAATAATGTCTAGCTTACCCACTATAAGAATCAATGAGCTAAAATATGAAGGTGCTTTATGAAGTTTTATGACTTTACAAATATTAATACTTAAAAACCCTACATAATAATACAAATAAACTAACTACATATGTGGTAATTTTAAAGTTAGAATTTTTGCTGTCTGAGTGACTTAAGCTATAAACCTAATTTAAACTTAATCACATTTCTGACCAGTCCATACACACTGTAATAGCTTGACAAGTTGATAAAATATATGCTGACACTTATTTAAAAATCCCTGCAGTTCCATCAAGAGCAAAATCCCACATTTATGCTTCTGCTTTACTTACATTTATGTCCGTATGGTATATGAGGACACATAAAGCTGGCAAAATCTGAGGAAAGAAGATAAACAATAAGTAACACTAGAGTTGATGAATATGTCTTTGTAAAAATAAACTGTGACACAAAAACCAGTAAGTACTGTTTGTAGGGCAAGAAAGACAATGTTAAATCTGTTTGACTATCTATTAGGAAAACAAAAATCTGATAAATTCAATCTGAAAAACCAAAAGCCTATTTCAAATGTCCAATTAAAACATCCAAATAAATCTGGCAGAGATAAATGTACTTTAGAGGAAAAACAATTGTTTTCAATAAACTTCTTTATGACATATAATATCAAGTGGAAAGAATGGAGATGCGAATACATGGTTACAGCTATTTAAGAAAAGCTACTTTTAAAACTGCCATCACTGTCTCACCTGCTTAAATAAAAATAAGGTTTTATTTAATAAGCTACTTGAGTCAAATTAAAGTTTTTATTTATTTTTTTTTTCCTTTTTGTCTTTTTTCGTGACCGGTAACGGATTGCAACCCTCAGTGTTGCGCTCAAACCTTGCTCAGCCAGTGAGCGGCCAGTCTGTATGTGGGATCCGAACCCTCGGCGGGAGCGCCATTTTTTTTTTCCTTTTTGTCTTTTTTCGTGACTGGTAACGGATTGCAACCCTCAGTGTTGCGCTCAAACCTTGCTCAGCCAGTGAGCGGCCAGTCTGTATGTGGGATCCGAACCCTCGGCGGGAGCGCCCCCGCGCTCCCAAGTGGCGCACTGTAGCAGTGCGCCACTGGGCCAGCCCCAAATTAAAGTTTTTGAGATCAGCTTTAGTCAAGAAAATTAAAACTAGTACAAAGTATAAAGCTTTGTTGAATTCAGACCTTACAGATCTCTACTTAAAGTCTAGGAGCAAGGGAACAGGTGGTGGTGGGAATCACACTAAATACCTTTGAATAACAACAAAAGGTAGCAGAACCTGGCCAAAGATGTCAATTATAAATATATATAGTCAATAGTTCTGTACACAGTCAAATGAATAAAAGTTACATAGGATTTTTTAAAACTCAAAATACTCAGATCTATTTACATATAGAATAGGAAAGTTTTTTACATTGCTTAAATTAGTAGATTTAACATAAAGCATGTCACACTTAACACTAATTTTGTCAGAAATCAACTGAGCTTTTTAATGCAAATTCGCTCAAGAACACTTGCATGTAAGTGCACTAGTTTTATGTGCAGCAATCCCTTATTTCTTTTTTAGCATTAAACCAACAATGCAATGCAGAAATAAAACAGATTTTTTTTTGTATTTTTCTGTTTGAATTTTTTGTAAGTTTTCTTTTAATGAAAACAGTCATTTAAAAATAAGCATTAGGATGGACTGACATTCTTTCAAGTATTGTTAAGACACTCAACTTTTATTTCACAGGAGTAATTAAACATGATACGTTACTTAAAAAAATCTCATACCTGCAATGAAATCATAATATGTGTTATTTCATTCCCTGTGCATAAGTACTTAAAGCATAAACATAGGGAAAATATACCATCTGGCCTTTACAATTCTTCATTTACCTCCTGAACTGTCTCCATAGGCGGTGGGGGGTCCTTATTCCTGCAGAGATTGACAATGACCCATGTGACGTTCCGAAGGAAGGTGATGGGAATGGAAGGATTGATGAAGGACAGAAGAGGTTTGACAACTCCCAGTGATATGACATAATCTCTACATTGAGGACCATCACCTACAGAAATGAAAATTGTATTTAAAAAAAAATTACATTCAGGATGAGAAAGTCTGAAATGTATGCAATGGCTCATGTTGGGACACTGATGTTCTATGTTTCCTCACCATTAGTCAAAGGCATCAAATGTTGTTTCTCCAGATTTTGATTTGGGGAACACAAATTTAACCTAGGAATCCTGATAGCAAATTGTTCCTCCTTTTCAAAGTCATATCACCTTAAGTTAGTATTTATGAGGCAAGCAGATATCAACCACATTAAATTCAGAGGAAACATAGTGTGTAATGGCTATGCCAATGCAAGAAAAAAGTTAATTAAGTTTCTTAATTGGAGTCTTTTCAAACCCAAATGCAACTTACCTATAATGTTTCCCAAAGCCCATACTGCTTGTTCACAAACATTCTGATGTGGTGAATGGAGAAGTCTCAGAAAAAGAGGTACTGCATCTGTAATAAAGAAAAACTACTTTTATACTGGCAAAATGTTGAAGAGTTTATAAATTTCAGCCTAAATAAGCTGATAAAATACACAGAGCCTGGCACATTCTACTTTCCCAATTTATAGTTCAGTGGATAAATAAATGTGGCAAATACTTGTACCCTAAAAATAATTTCAGAATCTTCCCCTAGCAATACTCAAGTAACACACTAATTGACAGTATCTAAAGCCTGCGACTATATTAACTAAAACAGTAGCATGAAATATTTCCTATAATTAATTACTTAAAAAAAAAAAAAAAGAGTCCCTACCTCAAACCTTAAAATGTAATACTTTAGTTAATGTAATCTCAATTCCTTATATGGGATAACCAAAGAATTGATTAATCTCATATCAGGTCTACTTTATATTTTAAAATAATTTATCTCTATAACCCTTACTCTTCATATAACTTACACATTATACCCATTTCCATCTCTTAAATTTCAATCAATTGTGTATTGCCTCTAGTATTTTTTGCTGTATCTATGTACTACCTATATTTACTTAACTTACAGAAACTGATTCACACTTTAACAGCTTTATTGAGATACAAGATTTTTAGTATTTATATAGAGTTCTGCAGTCATCACCGCAATCTAATTTTACAACATTTCCATTACCCTCAAAAGAAATCCTATACCTATGGCAGACACTCCCCTTTCAAAACTCTGCCAACCATTCCTCCAGCCCTAGGCAACCATTAAATATCTGCTCTATGTCTTCATAGATTTGCTCATTCTCGACATTCCATAAAAATGAAATCATAGTGTGTGTGGTTTTTTTGGTGTCTGGCTTCTTTTGCGACTGTCTACAACTAGCTAAAACTAGTTCTATTTTCCTATCTCAAGTTGTTTTATAAAAGTTGTCTTGCAGGATATGAACTGGGCATGTGCATAGAGAAGGACCTTGACGTCCAGATGACCTCAAGCACTGCAGGAACCAAAGATCTTCAGTCCATGGAACTAAAAAGCTGGAAATTGAACCATCAGAGCCTTTCATGAAGTGAGGGGTCCTTCAGCAAGGGAGATCTGGCATCCAATAGCTTCGTAACCATATGCGGACTGAATCGTAGCTAGCCAATCAACTTCCGTCCCATCATACGGCCTGATCCAAAGCTAGCCAATCCATTTTGCCTCATTACCATATATGGCCTGATTCAGAGCTAGCCAATCAATCAACTTTGCCCAGTCATATGGTCTGATTCTGAGGTAGCTAACCAATTTTGCCCAATACCCCTTAAAACCAGCCCAGCCTCTGGATTGGGGAGACAGATTTGAGAGCACCTTGCCTCTGGTTTCCTTGCTGGTTGACCTCGAATAAAGCCTTTTCTCTTCTCAAAAACTGGTGCCATAGTATTGGCTTTTGTGCACACTGGGCAGAGAGCCCTTGTTCAGTAATACTTTCACTTAGCATAATGTTTTTAAGGTTCATCCAGGTTGTAGCAGGCATCAGTTACTTCATTCTTTTTTATTGCTGAATAGAATTCCATTGTATACCACATTTTGTTTATCCACTCACCAGTTAACGGAAATTTGGGTTACTTATGAATAATGCTATTGTGAACATTTGAGTACAAGTCTTTGTGTGGACATGTTTCTGTATTTCTTGGTTTCACCTAGAAGTAGAACTGCTGGGTCATATGGAAACTCTATGTTTAACCTTTTGGGAAACTGTTTTCCAAAGCAGGTTCATAATTTTACATTCCCACCGACAATGCGTGAGGGTTTCAACTGACTCACATTTTTAACTTAACTGATTTTATTTATCAGTTCTGTAAAACTGATATTTAAAGCCCTAGTCTAAAACTGTTCTCTTTCTGTTAGAACTAACACCTAAGTGGAAACTTTCTCCTTGACATTTCTTACTGAAATATCTGAAAAAGAACTGAAAGAGAATAGTATTCTTACCATGTGATTCAATGTAACTTATTGCTACATCATGTACTACTAAAAATCACCTTGATTACCACCTAAAGTCAGCTAAATGTCCCATATTTCTTACTGAAATATCTGAAAAAGAACTGAAAGAGAATAGTATTCTTACCATGTGATTCAATGTAACTTACTGCTACATCATGTACTACTAAAAATCACCTTGATTACCACCTAAAGTCAGCTAAATGTCCCACACTGTAAGAAACAAAGTACTTGGTGATATCTAGTTTTTTTCCCAAGAGCTTGTAGTCAGTTTTGGTCAACATACCAACAGTTATTGGCTCATTCTGAGGTAAGCAAAATTTTAAAAATATATATGTTATAAGCTAAAAGGCATATACCACTCAGCATCTTAAACAGAAACTTAAAATCCTGTTATTAGAGGATGGTCTCTACCCCAAAAGATAAAATTCGATTCCCTTTTTGGTTAGCACAATTAAAAGTACTTAATGATAGATTAATGATAGCTATAGGAAAGATATCAGTCATTGAAAATAACTTTAAAAATTCATCAGCTTAAAAATGCTAGGAGATAAAGTTTGGTCTTTACTATAAAATTTTACTTCCATGCCATCATTAAAAGAAAACACAGAGTGTAAGAAATTTAATTTACTTACTAGACTGTACAACAGCTTGAGTCTGTGCAGAAGTTCCTGATGCTATATTAGTTAGTGCCCAAGCAGCTTCAAACTGTAATGAAGGACTGTAAAAAACAATTAAAAATCTTTTTAGACACATAACTACCACTTCAATTTATGAATCTCAGGCCTGTATGGCTATCCCTTATACTGTCCTTGAATTTCATCTTGTTATATACAACTGCCTGCTGGACATCACTATCTGAATATCTCACTGGATTCCAAAGCTAGTCACTATAAACCCACTTCTTTACATCTACTGGTAGTTGCAACATTTAGCCAGTCATTATTTCCCTTGACTCCTTCCTCTACCACAGACACTACATCTAATCAATAAATCAAGTCAATTTTACCTCCTAAATACTTCTTACATTTACAGAATTACCCCCTAGGTCACTGTGCTAGTTGAGATGTGTATGGATGACGAGGAACAGATCAAGAGAGTTAAGCCAAGGAGATATGCAAAAAAAAAAAGTGTGTGTATTGAATGGTGAGAGTGGAGAGTGTGTCTCAAATCCCAGGCATCAGAACTTGGAATTTATAAAGTGTTATCGAAAAGGGGAATAAAGAAAATAATGTTGGAATCAATGGTATGCAGAATAGGTAAAAAAAAAAGGTTAAAGGCTAATGTAGGAGAGACCTGTTAAAAGAAAACTATGGACATTAAGTTAGGACAGATAGCCAAAAGAATATAAATTCCCTTAAGTAGTATACCAAAGTAGCAAGGGATGTAGTGAGCAAAAACTAAGACAAGCCAAAAGTTAGAAAATTAGAAGAAAAGGCTGCAAATTGAAGAAAGAAAGAGAGGTTGTTAGTATCAAAAGGTTAAAGAGATCCAAGAAGGAAAACGTTTTAAGGAGAATAAATGTCCTAGTGCATAGCAAACAGTACAGGTTAAAAAGATGAAATGGATGAGAAAGTGTAAGAACTACATGATGAATTCTGACAGAAGGAAAGGAATAAGAAGGTATCAGAGGCAGAAGAGAAGCTAAAGGACAATAATATCAAAGATGATAAGATGGTGTATGTTGTCCCAGGCTGGAAGGAGAAAGAGCTATTAAGCTGGTTAAGTGGTTTGGCAAAATACCGGAAACAGGGGCCTTAAATGAGAAATGGAAACATGTAAAAACTAAAATTACAAAGCCAGGAAAAGTATTCCAAAATGTCGTGTGAAAAAGAGAAAGAGATAAGATGTAAAAAAAAAAAAAAAATGAGTACAATAAGTAAATAATAAATGAACATCATAAGCTTGATATTATGTAGTGTTTTGTACATATATATAATTTCTATTCCTCACAACCACCTAATTTTTATAGATAAGGTATCTGAGGCTCAAAAGCCACTTGGGTTTTGGCTAACATCAAACCCTAATTTTAAACCGGGGTCTACTTCACTGTAAAGTCTACGGTCTTTTACACTATAGCACCACTTCCCACGACAAATCCATAAAGTCAGATCCAAACCACTGACAATTTTCTATTCTTGCTTTAGGTGGTGGTTACACAAGTCTGTGTTTTATAATTATTCATTAAGCTTTCTATATTTTAGCATACTTTTCTGTATATATGCTATGTTCCATAGATGTACCCACACAAATGAGTCTATGCCAAAGCTGGAAAGAAAAGGAGAAAATAAAAAAAAGAAGAAAAGTGGACCAATAACAAAAAAGGGGTCCTAAAGGTGGAGGCAGAATTTATTTTCTAAACAGCTGAAGTAAAACTTACCTTTACTTAAATAAAACTTGTTATAGAAAATACACATGATAGTATAAAAATTGGTAAGGGCCTGGGAGTGAAGGGTGAGGAGAGTTGTGGCACACAATGGAAGCAGAAGGTACTTTTAAATACCCGTGGTATCTAGTCAACTGAAAATTCCTGGACAACACCTTGCGAAATATCCCAACTTTCAGTCTAAATGCTCTTAAATGCAAAAACAGAATTTGTTTTAAAGTATTTTGGAGTTCAAACCTACATTCTCCCCAGTTAATTCAAACTGATGAAGTTTAAGATATAACACTGAGATATCTTAAACACAAATGGAAATAAGGCCAGTACCTCAAAAGATATCAAGTGATATTCTTCCCTTTCTCTTCTGAATAAGTATAACTTGCCCCCTTATTCTTAATTTGCCACAAACAAAAAGCATGATGTTGGACAACTAATCATGACTGGAGTTCTGTTAAAGACAACACAGAGATCAGCTGAAATATTCCCAGGGGAAAAATGAGCTACTTAGTTCTGGAAACCATTCATGCTGACACACTCATGAGGTTAATCTATATATAGAATCATAAGCAAAGAGTGACTCAAATACTATTTGGGTGTTTTAAAATATTACTAATAAAAAACCCTAACTAATAAAGACTAAATATTTGAGATAAATTAGAACAGGCAATAAAAAGCTAAATATTTCCTAGAAAATATATACATATTTTAGAAACTAAAAAGAGAAGCACTTTAGGTCTGCTGAATATGATCATAGGAGAATTACATAAAAAATGCATGACAGGGCCGAGCCCGTGGCGCACTCGGGAGAGTGCGGCGCTGGGAGCGCAGCAGTGCTCCCGCCGTGGGTTCGGATCCTATATAGGGATGGCCGGTGCGCTCACAGCGCTCACTGGCTGAGCCTTCTGAATAAGTATAACTTGCCCCCTTATTCTTAATTTGCCACAAACAAAAAGCATGATGTTGGACAACTAATCATGACTGGAGTTCTGTTAAAGACAACACAGAGATCAGCTGAAATATTCCCAGGGGAAAAATGAGCTACTTAGTTCTGGAAACCATTCATGCTGACACACTCATGAGGTTAATCTATATATAGAATCATAAGCAAAGAGTGACTCAAATACTATTTGGGTGTTTTAAAATATTACTAATAAAAAACCCTAACTAATAAAGACTAAATATTTGAGATAAATTAGAACAGGCAATAAAAAGCTAAATATTTCCTAGAAAATATATACATATTTTAGAAACTAAAAAGAGAAGCACTTTAGGTCTGCTGAATATGATCATAGGAGAATTACATAAAAAATGCATGACAGGGCCGAGCCCGTGGCGCACTCGGGAGAGTGCGGCGCTGGGAGCGCAGCAGTGCTCCCGCCGTGGGTGCGGCCGGTCTCAAAAAGGACAAAAAAAAAAAGCATGACAGCAGAAAACATAATAAACACAAAACCAAACTGAGCCCATTGGTTAAATAGCAATCCTAAATTTTAAGTTAACTGAAAAAAAGTGAATAGGAAGTCAAATCTATACTTACTTATCATCCCTTTCTAGACATTTGACTAGAATTGGTAAAATCCCAGATTTTATTAGGTCATCAATAGGTGGGTTTCTGTCACTGGATAACAGCTTTCTAGAAAAAGAATTATAAGAAATTAATTACTGTAATTTTCAAACTATGAACAGAAATAACAATGTATTCCTTCTAAACTATCAGCTAAGACACATGAGGTATGACATAATTCTCTCTTTGGACAAATTATTGTTACCTTGCTGCCTGGACAGCACTTAGCTGGACCACTGGGTTATCACTTGTGGCATTCTGCAAGACCAAATGTAAATTTCAGAAATTAAAGAATAAAAAATCAATTTCAAAACACTTCGAAATGAGAATATTAAATTAATAACATACCTGCAATATAGCTTCTAGTGTTACATTTTGCTTAAAAAGAAAAAAAGATAATTCAGCAGAGTTTGTTTGCAAAATTACAATCAAATAACTTATCTGCTAGAGTTAGAGTTAATGTACCTTAATTATTATTATAAAATTGGTTTTATATTAAAAATGTAGTTCTCCTAGTTACTATAAAAATTATTTTTAAAACACTTCAAAAAAGCAAGGTAACTTACTGCTTTAAAATCAGCATCAACATCTGAATCTTCTAAACTTTCTTCTTGAGGAACATTTCTTTTTTTCAATAAATGTTCATCTCTTTTGTTCTGAAAGACAACCAGTAAAATGCTTAAGAAGTCATGAAGGCTGTTGTTAATAAGAAATCTATTAAAATTATTTCAACTTTACTAGGCAATTGTGAAACAAATCTGAATCTCTACATAAGGAAAATATGAGTTAAATGTGCATACTGCAAACCATTGACAAGGCCACATTCTGGCTTTGGTAACAAAATTAACTGGTTTACAGTCCACCTTCTACACACACACACCCACACACACGCAAAGCATCAACTGTTTTGACCAACACTGTACCTACAGATACTTAGTGAAGATTTAAATTTGGGGATGCGATACTGTTATAAACACCTACCAAATATATTTGAACTAGTATGCCAATTTTCATCTACTTATTACTAATGGCTGTCTGAAGCAATTTATAAAGAAGCCAGCTAACTGGGAAGAGCTCAATGCTCAAATGTTAAGGTGTATATATGCTTATTGGGAGTGTGGAGAGTGGTAATTCACTAACATAAATGCCACCTACTTGTCACCATCTCAGATTTAAACTCTTGCCATGTGGCTTTTACAAACAAGAATACTAGCAAATATATTTCTACATTTTATAGGACTTCAATTGTAATGGTAACCTGTGCCATTTCACATAACATGTAACTTGGAGTAAATAATCAATTTTCCCTAAGCTTTTGGTTTGTCTACAGAATTAATTAAAATAAATTAGATCAAAAAACTTAATGATTTCTAATATCCTCTTTAACTTAAAATTCCAAAGGGTATAATTCTAGTGTTCAATATAATTATTTACGGACGTGTTTGATTATAACAAAGTTACTGGAGAGGTATCAACACTGATGTTAAAATTCAGATCAAACAGAAAATTAAAACTAGAAATATATATATCTGAATCTTACTGGCTTATCTGCATGACACCAGTTTTTGTGCTGTGTATAAGCAAGCATGTTTAAACAAACTGATGCCTATATATATGCTAATCATTAGGAATTTACAAACTTCCGCTTATATCACAGCATACTTCTTTAGTAACTACTAAACCAATTCTAAGTTATTTTTTAATTAAAGCATCTCACATATATTTACACCCATGCACTGATGTTTCACATAGTCTCAAGTGGCTTCCCATAGAATGCTCATTAATTTACAATGGGAAAACTTGGCAGACAGCATCTTGACCAAGAAACAAAAGATATCACTACCAATAAAGGACAAATCAATACCATGTGCCTCCTGGTCTGGTACACTGAGAAAGCAACGTCACTTCTGTGGTATTCTTGACCAAAATAAATAAATAACCTGAGAAAAGGCAGACAAACTCTACTACCAATAAAGGACAAATCAATACCATGTGCCTCCTGGTCTGGTACACTGAGAAAGCAATGTCACTTCTGTGGTATTCTTGACCAAAATAAATAAATAACCTGAGAAAAGGCAGACAAACTCAAACTTGCCTTTCTACAAAAAACAGGTCTATACTCTACAAAATGACAACTAAACAATGAATATCTGATCTTGAACTGGATCTTGGGTTTATAAAGGACATCACTAGGAACAATTTGCAGAGACACAGTTGGGTCTACGAATTAGATGGTAGAATTTTACCTATGTTAATTTGATAAATGCACTGTGGTTATGTGGGAAAGTATGTTTTTATGAAATATGAACTGATGTATTAAGGGTAATGGGGGCATCATGCTTGCAACTTAACTGTTTCAAGAAAAATATATATACACATATAAAAATTAAAGAGAGAATAAAGTAAATATGGAAAAATACTGGGTGCTAAGTGAAGGATATATGGTGTTTTTTGTACTATCCTTGTAACTTTAAATTTCAAACTATAAATATGATATTGTTTCAAAATTTTAAAAAAATCTATGCATTACACTCTGTGGTTTACAATATGTAGTTTAAAAGCTGTTATAGAATATGGTAATTTTTAACATTTATTGTATTTAATCCATTTAAAAAGTTTCAGCAAAGTTTATCTACCAACAGGTTCCTCTCCCCCACCAAAATTATTCTAACCCTGATCCCATTCCATTTTCATTCTCTATTTTCCTCTAACTTTTCCATAGCCTGAACAATCAAGCTTCCAAGCCATTTAGGAATCTTACTGAGGCCATTCCTTTTCCTTTCTCCCTCCCACATAAATACAACTAAAGCCTGCTATACACACAGACCCCAAATCTGGGGATAGCATTCTATCATTACACATGATGTATGCTGTCTTTTTTGGTAGATACCCTTTATCTAGTAAGAAAGTTTCTTTCTATTCCTAATTTACTAATATTTTTTTTTCTTTTTAAGCCATGAATGAATTCTTAATTTTATCAAATTGTGCTTCTTTTGTATCTACTGAAATGGACATATAATTTTCCCCTTTCATCTGTAAATGTTGTAAGGTAATTGATTTTCTAATGTTAAACATCCTTTCAAGTCCTGGGATAAACCTTTCTGGGAAATTTTTAAAAAATATTCATTACTGAACTCAATTTACTAACATTTTATTGAGGATTTCCCCCTCCTCCTGTGTTCCTAAGTGAAACTGCCTGATAAGCATCTTAGACTGTCTTGGTCTGGTGCTTGGGGTCATGGTTTCGCAAGCTTCATAAAATGAGTTGGGAAATATTCTCTTTACCTTCTCTGAAATCATTTAATAAGGCTGAAATTATCTGTTCCTTGAATATCCTCTGGAGTTCCACCTGTATCTTTCCTTTTGCAGGAGGGGTGGGAGAGGTTAAATTTTTAGCTACTGATATTGATTCATTTAATTGCTTTTAGATCTATTCAGGTTTTTCATATCTTCTTAAGTCAGCTGGGTAAATTATTTTTATTTTTTTATGCTAGGAAACTGCCCGCTTCACCTAAGTTTTCAAATTTACTGGCAAATAGTTGCTTATATTCAAATTGTGGTAGATTGTTTGCAAAAATGGCAATAATTCCCCTTCCCACATCCATGTCTTTGGGTAGTCCAGTCCTGCACTGATTCTAGGCATAGCTACGTGACTTGCTTTGGCAATGGGACATGCAAACAGATTTGAAAAGTGCTTATACATTGGGGCATGTGCTCTCTTGCTGCTTTTTTTCTAAAACCATCATGTGAAAAAGACTGAGCCAGTGGAGGATGAGGCTATGTGAAGGAAAATCAAGGTCCCAGCCAACAGCCAGACACTTATGTGATACCATCCTAGAACATCTAGTAACCAACCAACCCACCAGTTGACCAGAGACAATAAGAGAGCCCAGAAGAAAGCAGCTAAACAGTCTCAGGCCAGAAAAAAACCCCACAGAATTGTTAGCTGAATAAAATGGCTGTTGTTTTAAGCCACTTAGTTTTGGAGTGGTTTATTATGAAGCAAAAACAAACATGCACTAATGTTTTAAAATTTATGCTATATTGAAAATTAATATGCCTTTAAAAATTCCTAGTATTATTTACTTGTTCTTTCTACTTGCTATAAATTTCCCTCGTGAAGTACATACAACTTTAACTGCATTCTACAGGTTCTGACATGTAATATTTTTTCTACTGTTGATTTTTAGGTATTCCTAATTTCCCTTAGAATTTCTTTGATACCCAATGTATTTGAAAGTGCTTTAAAACTTTCACAACTATGAGGTTTTTGTAACTGTCTTATTCATTGATTTCTAATTTAATTACATTGTGGTCAGAGAATATGGTCTGTGCAACACACTGAAATTAGCCGATATTTGCTTTATGCCAGAGGTTCCCAAACACTTTCCAGACTACAGTATAGGCCAAAGGAAATATCTAACAGTTTCTTTACCAAGTAAGTAGGTTCAAACAACTTAATAATCGTTTGGGAAAAGGGAAAGGAAAGAAAAGAAAAACATAAATAGGAAGAAAAAATTATCTCACCCTTACATAAAATACATAATTGAAAGGAATGCAGTGTGATCTAATGTTCAAATCATGAACTACCTTGAGATCTAATAGTTGTGTGGTGTCTGAAAGTTATAACTGTATTTCTCTCAAGATTTAGACTATCCCAAGGTCCCTCTGAGTTCAATGTGGAACCCCATGGTACCTCAGTGCATAGTGTGGAAACTACAGCTTTGTAATATCACAAAACCCATTTCCAAATATGTATAGAACTTTACATGTTTATTAGGTAAAACTTCTGAATTAAGCTATTCAAATTTTCTATCTCCCATTAGTTCGTGTGTTTTCATTGGTGTGCTGGACTTACAGAGGGAGAGAACATACTATGGATGCCAGGGGTGGAGGAGGTGGAGGAGGTGGGGAGAAGTTGGGTGGGGGACACAGGGAATAATGGCAATTTGTGGTAATGGGTATATTGATATTATTGATCTTGATCATCACATCTTAGACGAAGGTGGTGACAGTCAGCTTTGTACCCCATGAATATGCATAATCAATTAAAAAATAATAAAATAAAATGTATAAGAAACAAACAAACAAAGACTAAATTCTGGAGCAGGAAAAAAAAAACTGACATGTTTAACCTATTCATTATTGAGAAGAAAATCTCCCACAATAATTACCAAACAAAGACTAAATTCTGGAGCAGGAAAAAAAAACTGACATGTTTAACCTATTCATTATTGAGAAGAAAATCTCCCACAATAATTACATCTCTGACAAATTTCTCCTTCTAACTTTGCCAACTTTTACTTTATATATGTGTTTGGACACATTATTAGGTATATTAGTCTAGAGCTATTATAACTTCTAGTAAAGTGTTTCTTTTCTCAAACATTAGGTAAGAGCCCCTGCACTTAAACTGAAAACACCCTAACGTAGGCCAAAATATCTAGGACACAAGAACCACACTTTACTCTTAACAAAAATATGAGGGTGCTTCAAAATGTTTATGGAAAGATTTGTATTATCTTTGAATTCCATTTTTCCATGAATGTTTTGGAGTACCCCTGTGTATGTACAAGCTGAGGAAAGATAATCCCTGAGTAGGTTTCTGGTGATTTGATTAACCACTAAAGGAGGCTTCCTCAAAACCAATAACTAA